TTTTTTTTTTTCTTTTCTTTTTTTTATTTTTTAATAGATAAGTGTGTTTATTTGATTTAGATTATTATAAGTCGTGTAGTTTAAAAATTTTGATTAATTGATAAAAGAATATGCAAAAGATTTCGATTATTTATTCAAGTTAAAATATCGTTGAGTTCAAAGCAAATTTTTTTTCATTCGTGCAATCGAAAGAAAATTGACTTTGTTATTTTTAGTCCTGTAAATGGTTACGAAAGTTTTATTACTTTACACTTTGCGATAAGAATATGTGTACAGTCTTAAATATTATATATTTGTATCTAATTACTAATTATTAATTGATACATAACGTATAGAAAACAAATGCGAATGGGGATTTTATGATTCCGTTCAACAGGTCTCCATAAATGGATTCCTAGAGTCTGTGTTGTTTGGGATTTTTATATCCTTGGATCGAGAAATCATTGCATCGTTGGATTCTTCAATTCCGCATTGGATTACTTCTCTAGATTCTTCCATCGAGCCATTCTTCGTATCTTCGGATCTTTAGATTTCTCCTTTTTAATTCCTTCTTATTTGTAAGGATTTTCAATTCGATAGCACGAAAATCTAAAGATCCAAGGATACACATTGCGATGTACCAACTTTACATGGGATATATAGCTTCAGGAATGCTGAGTGGTGTATTATTGTTATTATTGTGTTGTTGGCTGCATTATATGCTATGTTGTTCTGTAGCGATGAATTACGTGTTTTTTTTGAGCCGATGAGCCAATTCTTTCCATTCCGACGTCGTCGGGCCTGATCGATCGCACGTCGTCGATTGATTTGTTACCTGGGAGGAGGAAGATCTTTTTTTATTCTCTAGCAAAAGAATATGAAAGCTTTTCTTTCCATCGCCATAGTTAATATCGAGTAAAGAAACGTCTGTTAATATCCTTCGAATTACTACAGCTTTATCCGCCTGCATTTTTGTCAATTTTTATTTTCAACAAACCCATATGTTTTAACGTGGGAAATTTTAAGAGCCAAGGATCTAAAAACATGTGATTTAAGATTCAAATCTTGAAAGTTTGAATCCTGTAGAGATTTTTGGGATTCGGATGCGATCTTTTTCGACCATTCTCTTCGTGAGAATATTGATACAAAGATATCTTTATCCATCTCTTTGGATCTCGATAAGGTCTTTGAATCTTCAAGTCATTAGATTTTCATTTATGTGTGAGCCTATTAGACAATT